GAGTCTGAATCACAAGTTGGAGTCAGGATGTTTGCCCCAGACACTGGGTATCAAGTTGCCGTTACTGTTTATTCCACCTGTAGGCTTGTCTTACAAATTTCAAAGAGAATTAAAGGGAGAGTGTGTAGAATGCAGTTTCTCTTTCTGATCTTTGAAATGAGAATGCAGCTGCCTGGACCCTTTTTACAAGACCTGATGAGAAAATAGGAAGAAAAGACCCGTCACACTGAATGACGGCACGCCATTGATAAATGCTCCCTGGGCTAGCCAGGGGACTGGCTGATTTTGATCTGTTAAGCAGCTACAAAAATCTGAGAGGTAGGGAGCCCTGCAATGTAAGCCTTTGATGGAGTGGCCAGTGCCTATGTGTGCTCCTCACCTCTCCCAGGGGAGGGCTGGACAGACTGGCTGTCAAAGAAACCTAAAGCTGGACAGCCATCAAAGTCGTAAAATATATACATTTTAAAATTGCTTAAAGATAGGTTGTCACTAGGTGACCAAGGCTGGTCTTGAACTCCTGGGTTCAAGTGATCCTTCTCACTTCAGCCTCCCAAGTAGCTGGTACTACCAGTGTGCACCACCATGCCCCACAGTAAAAATATATTTTACTCAGGAACTATTGCAATAGGAGAAAAGAGATCCCAGTATAGAACTGGACTCAATTCTGAATACAGCATGGGCAAATGGAAATTTACAGCCAAGGAGCAGAGTGGGGAATCAATGGATAGGAAATTAACTCAGAGGAAACATCAAGACATCATCAGGGTAGACAGGAAATTAACAAGAAACGGGATAAGGGAGATTCAGGCTAAGCCAGCCTGACAGGATTCTTGAGGAAGGCAGGCCTGGGGCATGGGGAGGATGAGAAATCTGATCAGGTAACAAGGATGGTCAGATATGGAGGATGGGAAGGGGTTCTTGCTAAACTGACTTAGCAGGTTTCTTGCTAAAACTGGACTTTATAGAACTATAACTTAATCCAGCAATTCCACTCCTGGGTATCAACCCAGAGGAAAAGAAATCATTACATCAAAAAGATACCTGCACCTGTATGTTTATCATAGCACTATTCACAATAGCAAAGATATGGAATCAACCTAATGTCCACCAACAGATGATCAAAGAAAATGTGGCATATATACAAAATAGAATACTGTGCAGTCATAAAAGAATGAAATCATGTCTTCCACAACAACATGGATGGAACTGAAGGTCATTATCTTAAGTGAAATAAGTCAGTCACAGAAAGACAAACACCACATGCTGTCACTTCTGAGTAGGCATAGAGTGTGGAATAATACACAGTGGAGACTCAGCTGGGCATGGTGGCTCACACCTGTAATCCAAGCCCTTTGGGAGGCTGAGGCAGGTGGATCATGAGGTCAGGAGTTTGAGACCATCCTGGCTAACACAGTGAAACCCCATCTCTACTAAAAAGACAAAAAATTAGCTGGACATGGTGGCGGGTGCCTGTAGTCCCAGCTACTTGGGAGGCTGAGGCAGGAGAATGGTGTGAACCCGGGAGGCGGAGCTTGCTGTGAGCTGAGACCGCACCACTGCACTCCAGCCTAGGCGACAGAGCAAGTCTCAAAAAGAAAAAAAAATAGACGATGGAGACTCAAAAGAGTGAGGGAGTGGGAGAGAAGAGGATGGTGAGAAATTCTTATAGCAAGAAATTACTTAACAAGTACAATGTATGTTATTTGGGTGTTGGAGACCCTAACACCCTGACTTTACCACACAACCTGTGAATGTAACAAAATTACACTGGTACCCCCTAAATTTTTACAAAATAAAGAAAAAAATAAATAAAATGAAACTGGATTTTACAAGGAAGTGCACAGATGGATCTGGGAGAAGTTTCAGGAGCCTGACTGGAGTTTGGTCAAGCAAAGAATCCTTGTCACCACTCTCCGATTGCTCTTGCCATCCCAGTTCTGTCTTAGGGCAAGGCAGCAGGAGCCAATGGGAATTAGAAGTGGACGGCAATCATAGGTGTGTGTTGAGGTTTTAGATGAATAAAGCTGAAGGGGCCTCCTTTACAATGGAAGAGGCTTCTGCAGACATCGCTGTGGGTGGGTCCCAAAGCTTTCCGGAGCTCACCCTTTGCCCCAAAGACAGTGTCCTCCACCATCAGCTCATGTATTATTTATACCTCACCTCCTCCAAAAAGCATTGGAGGCAGCCTACCTGAAAACATATTCATATACCACAGAGCCATAAAATGAAGAATAAAAGGGCAAGTCAACTGCAGGCACAGCTTCCAGTCCCTGCTGCTTCTTAACTGTCTAGCAAATGGCCACAGGAATCCTCTTGCTCCAGAGGTGCTTTAATCCCAACACTTTCGCCATCACCACTGTGAAGCAAAACTTATGGGAAGCCATCAATTTGGACGAGGCCCCTGCACCAGGTCCCAGTAGACAAGACCAAAAACCAGAATGGACTCACTCGTGCTAAGTGCCATATAATCAAAGTGAAACTGCAAGGAAACAGATAGATCCCAGAACAGCACAGTTTTTCCTGAAAACAGGAGACTCCAGTCTACCTGAGTGAGAATAAGCAAGTCCTCTCTCTGCTTTAACCCTTACCAAGAAAAGTAACCTGAAGAAACCCGATGTTAGCCAATCCACTTTTTTTTTTATTGCTCTTTCTGTGTTCCCACCTCACAGAGCCCACTGTTTTGCTACTGCCTGGTGGGAGCTCTCATTCTGTTTGTAAAATGGTTCTATTCATGAATCATGAATAGAAGCCAATTCAATTAATAACGAAATTTGTTGCCATTTTCTCTTTTGATGCCACCCAACACAAAATGCTTCATGATGGGTTTTAAAACTCTCCGTGCACGGGCTTCCCTTTTACTGCTACCATCTCTGTCACCTCTCAGCACAACCAGCTTTCCCTGCCCCAGGCAGATCCGGTTACTCCCTACCCTCAACCACTGACCTTTTAAGCCATCAGGCTACCAGTGAGGCCTTGTTTTCCTCTCCACCAACTCTTTCAAGTCAGTTATTTCCCAGAGTTACATTCTGTGAAGCTATCACAAGGTAGGTTCTCTGGAAATAGACTGTAAAGTGCAAACTGCTGAGATGCAACTGTTGAGATACAAAACGTTTCTTGGGGTCAACCCCTGGAGGAAAAAGGGAGAGGAAGCAGGCCTGGGCCAGACAGAGATGGCACTTGTGGGGTAGGCTTGGTGAGCCTTGGTCAGCCTGCCGGAGAGCTCTGGGGTGAATGTGGCCTCTCAGAGGTGCACTGCCTGGTAGCCTTTCTTCCTCCACCTTGCCTGGTGCTCAGATACAGGCTGCCCCAAGAAGGGCATCACTACCAGAAAGGGAATCTGCAGTTGAGGCACATCCTGAAGGAGCTGGCAGCTGGGGCCACCCGTTGACCACACTTCTCACCACTGGGCAGCCAGTCCTTCTTTGAAAAGGGGATCTGGACAGCGCACTTCTGTGTTCCCTGCCCCAGGCTAACCCTATCAGAATCCAGCAATCCAACGGCTACAACAGTGATGTGGGTGGGTAAATGTGCCATTTGCCCATGATAAATGGCCTTGTCCATCACACCCCTCATCTTGGACCTCATGCTGCATTTGCTAAAATTGATCCTGGTGGTCTCATCTGGCTGGTTCCCTAGAACAGAGTTTCCCACTCAGACAGCCAGAAAGAGGCATGCCAAGATATGTATCTCTTAAGTCCCCAGAGCAAGCAGAAGGATTCTGGGCCAGTTGCCTCTTCAGTCTGTCCTGTTGCACAGAATAAATGTCATTTTTAAACCTTCAGGGTGCACTGCTATAGAGCCACCTCTTCTTGGCCCTTCATTCAGTCACTGGCCATATGTTTATTGGACATCTATTATGCACCAGGCTCCAAGCTAACCATCAGAGATACAGTGGGGAATGGGTTATAGAAGGTCACTATCATTGAGACATTTACACCTAGTGGAAGAGAAAAACTGAACAAGAACACACAGAAATGGACACATAATTAGACACAGTGATAAGTGCTGTAAAAGAGAGTAACAGGGTGGGGGCAGGGGAGGAAGGATGAAGATAGATCAGGCCAGACAGACAGGCAGGCATGGAACGAAGTTGGCATCGTATTCTAAGCACAACAGAAAGCCACTGGGAGATTTTAAGCAAAGGAAATCCTGATTTGATTTATATTTTTACAAGAACACTCTTTGCAGCAAGTGACTAGCAGAGCAGTGGCAGGGGTCTCAGGAAAACCAGTAATTCAGTTTAGAGATGGCGTGTTCACCATGGGGAATCACAGTGGGTCACAGTGGAGAGGAGGGGGAGTGGAATAATTCAAAATCTATTTTCAAAAAAGAATGACACTGACCCCACCCACCTGTAAGGAGCTTATACTGTTGGAAGGACAAACATGCTAACAGTTTAATATAGCAAAATAGTTACTTTAATAAAAAAAAATAGAAGACATGGATGGAGCAGAAGAGGGAGTCTGGAAGTCTTCATGGAGGAGTCAAGATGCTCAGTGTTAAAACATACGTAGCATTTGCCTGGTGAGCTGAGGGTAGATGGTGCTGTGGGCAGGGCTGACAGTGCATGTGGTAGCCATGAGGATGTACCCCACAGACTTCTGACCACAGGGGCCTTAACTGACCAGAAGCCCCAGACACTGTGTCCATCCCATGCTGTGGGAACCCTTCCATTGTGTTGGTCACTTGTGTTTAGAAATCTGTTTTTTGTGACTCCTTTCTCCCCAGATTTCAAGCTCCTGGAAGATAGTCTCGGCCTTATTTATTGTGGCAATAAATACTTAATGAGAAATAAAAATCTCTAGCAATAGCACCAATAAACAATGATTGCTTTCCAGCCCTCCCTGTTGACTTCACATTGTGCAGCAATTTCAAAGTCCTGGCCTTCAGGTGTGGTCTCCCCACCCAGCTCGTTGAGGGTAAGCCTCCACTCCCTCTTCTTGTGCCTTTTTCACTGGCCACTAGGTACTGATCTGCATACTTAAAGAACCCTCCAAAGACTAGTGAATGAAATAAGTGAATAGAAATGAGTTTAAATCAATATGCAGTTGCTATTACTGGTTAATAGGATTTTATTCCTTTCTTGGATACAGGATGATAAAGTGACGTTGGCTGCTGCAGAAGGAGTTCACCACCTACGACTTCCCCAGCATGTCTGCTGAAAATAATCAGTTATCAGGAGCATCACCTCTTCACCCTCCCACAACTCCCCAATGTTCCACACAGACCTTACCTTCAGAGAAAGAGGATACTGACGTAGAACTAGATGAGGAAAGTCTACAGGATGAATCTCCAGTTTCTCCAGAGGGAGAGTCTGGGGAGGACAAAGAGTATCTGGAGGAGGAAGAGGACCCAGAAGAGGAAGAGAATCTGGTGAAGGAAGAATACTTGAAGGAGGAAGAGCATCTGGGGAAGGAAGAGCATCTGGAGGAGGAAGAGTATCTGGGGAAGGAAGGGTATCTGGAGGAGGAAGAGTATATTGAGGAGGAAGAGTATCTGGGGAAGGAAGGGTATCTGCAGGAGGAAGAATATCTGGAGAAGAAAGAGCATCTGGAGGAGGAAGAGTATCTGGGGAAGGAAGGGTATCTGCAGGAGGAAGAGTATCTGGAGAAGAGAGAGCATCTGGAGGAGGAAGGGTATCTGGGGAAGGAAGGGTATCTGGAGAAGGAAGAGTATATTGAGGAGGAAGATTATCTGGGGAAGAAAGGGTATCTGGAGAAGGAAGAGTATCTGGGGAAGGAATGGTATCTAGAAGAGGAAAAGGCTCTGGAAAAGGAAGAGATTCTGGAGGAGGAAGAAGCTCTGGAGGAGGAAGAGAATCTGGATGGAAAAGAAAATCTGTATAAAAAGTATCTGAAAGAAGGTGAGTATCTGGAGGAGGGAGAGCATCTATGGGAGGAAAAGTATCTGAAAGGGAAAGAAGGTCTGGATGAAGAAGAGTATCTGGAAGGGGATGAGTATCTGGAGGAGGGCCTCCCAAAGGATGGTAGCTCTAGTTTACCAGGATGCCCAGGAAAAAAGCACAAACCTGAGAGAGAGCCAGAGCACAAATTGTCAACCCTATCCATGGTGCTGACAGGTAGGAAGACTCATTTACTGACCAAGTTCTGCTCACAACTGTAATATAATAGCCTTGCCCCAAAGCACTGCACCAACAAAGCAGGCAGGAAGACTTCATAAACATAAACCATCTGTTTATAATAATAATTGTTATTTGTATCTTTTGCTTTTCATATTACACAAGTAATACATGTTCATTGCAGATGCTTTAGGAACTATATATAAGCAGGCAAGGAGCAGTGGCTCACACCTGCAGTCCCAGCAGTTTGGGAGGCCAAGGCGAGAGGATTGTGTGAAGCCAGAAGTTTGAGACCAGCCTGGGCAACATAGCAACACCTCATTTCTACAAAAAATTTTAAAATTTAGTCGGGTGTGGTGGCAGACACCTGTGATCCCAGCTACTCAGGAGGCTGAGATGGGAAGATCACTTGAGCTCAGGATTTTGAGCAGCCTGGGTGACAGAATGCTCATCTCTTAAAAAAAAAAGAGAGAGAGAGAGAGAGAAGAAATAAACTATATATAAGCAAAAAGAAGAAAGCAAAAATCACCACCACTTGACTATCAGATTTGATAATCGCTTTCCACACTTGTGATTATATCTTCCCCAGACTTATTCTATATATATATATACACACACACACACACATACATGTATTTATATACACATATATATACACATACACACACCCCTTTTGTAAAAAGATCAAGCTTTATGTTGTGTTTGTAACCTGCTTTTAAAGATACCCTTATTTATATAAATATTATATATAAACACTATACATATATGAATATCATTTAATATTATATACATTTAATATATTAAGCTTTCTAAAAATCATTTTAATGACTGCATCGCATTGTATTGTGTTGATAAGCTATATTATTTTTAATCAATCTTCTATTATTGACCATTTATTGCTTCCAATGTTTTGTTCCTTTTTTAAAATGGCATTTTGGTGAACTGTTTTATCAGAGACCTCTATTTCCTGGAATACATTCCTACACTCTGTTGCTAGGTCAACAGACACTGGTATGCTTCTCAGGATACCCATTCATCCCCCTTAAAGGAATCATTTTAGTCTGGGGGTAAGTATTTGACTTTAGAGTGATTTTTCTCATCCAAGGGCTAAAGTTTTTTCAACACTGTTTCAGCAACTGGCAGCATTTCCTCATGTTGGGTTTTATTATTTGGCAGCAGCCTCCTTGTGCTGTTTGCTGGCAGTGATTAATGTGCTTTTGCTCATATGCCCCTGTAGTGTCTTCTCTTGATGTTGTGACTGCATGGCCATATTCTACTAGGTACAGAAACGTAAAGGTTCAGGTCACCTACATCATCTTCATGCTGGCCTATAAGTAGAACTAAACTATTTTTCCGGATTTGGTTCTGCTACCAACTGCAAGCATCCTAGGCAGCCTGAATTTTTAAATTCCTAAAAATCTGATTACACTCAACCTACTTCCTAAAAGCTGGGTGTTATCAGCAGCCACACAGGCATTTACTGTTACATCCCTCTCCATCAAATCAGATGTACCATCCTTGATTCCTACTCCCCTCCTGGAAATTTAGTTGTTGCATTAGAGAGGTAATTCCGCTATTGCTGGGAAACTCTCTTTTGTGTGTGCCTCTACCATTAAGTTTCCTCTTGGAATCCTAATATCCCTGCTGTTCAAGTATCAAATGTAATTCTAATACTGAAAAATAGCATTCAGGGCTTTTTCTCTTGCACAGTATGAATCAAGCATTCTTAACATGTCCCCTCTATGTGCTGGATCTTAGTAAATATATTACCCACTAGAGTAGGACAAATACAATGCTGTCAAGTGAATGGAACTGTGTATAAAGCAAACACTTTGAAAATAAATGTCCTGCTAACAAAAATTGGAGAGGCACTGAAGAAACACCAGGGAGATGCTGAAATGCCTTTCAAGGCTCATGAAAGAATGTCTTGGTTTATGAAATTCTAGGGCTTCAAGACAGATTGTACAAAACAGGTTAAGAAAAAAATTTATAAGGAATTTCTTAACTTTTCAAAAAATATATATCAATATTTTTTGGTAGAATATTCTCCTAATACCCTTAAGATATAACTTCGTTTACCCTTGTGTTGAACCTCAGTAACTAACAAGAGTGCCTTCCTCACCTATAGCAGATGCTCAGTACATGTAAATTGAATCAAGTGATCATATTCACTTCTTAGAGCCAGTCACACTCACATATACATGGGTGCCCACAAATTCTGTTAAACCTTATCAATTAATTGGCATCTATAAAATAAGCCCTAGATATGACAAATGGGCTTATCTCTCATGCTGATGCATTAACTACTAGAGGTTAGTGGAAAACTACGCTGAGAAGAATTCTGAGGCCTTGTCTGGGCTCAGCAGCAAAGAGTGCTGTGATCAACTAGTAATGTCTGCCACAGGAGCAGACAGTGAAGGGGGTGCCTGAATGCCATTTATTTATCTACTTAATAGCAAATAGGAGTCTGTCATGAAGAGCACATTTTCCTTTCTCTCAGGATCTTGACTGCCTAGGTTTGAAAGCCAGCTCTCTCCCTCTCACTAGTTGCATGAGCTTGGGCAAGTGACTTAACCTCTCCATGTCTTGTTTGTCTTCATTGTAAATAGGAACAGCATTAGCCCTACCTCATAGGATGTGTGGGAGGATTAAAGTGATTTAATTAGGTAAATCATTAAGAGATATGCCAGGCACATAGCATTTTAGGCCCAAGAAAGTGTTGGCCATTGTAAGTATTATTATATTACATGATGTATTATTATTCCCTTGCCATTGACTTGTGACTGGCCACACGCCCCTAGCCACATTACCTGCTTTGTGAAATGGACATAACCAAAAGATGGGACACAATGAACCAGGCTGTGGGAGGGATCTACACCCTCCACTCATCCACCCTACAGGCCGGTCAACTTCAGAGACTCCCACAGCCCTGGACAAATCAGGTTACATCAGACTAACAACCCCCACCCACCTCTCTTCCTTAAAGGCTTGATTCCCCCCAAAGTTTATGGGGAAATCCACTAAAATTAGGTGAGCAACTTGAATATAAATGTAGCATCAACTGCCAGTGAATAATTGGTTAGTTGCATCTGATTGGCCTGCTGGGGGAGTTCAGATTTTGGATGCACAACATGGGTGTGAGTGCTGTGGTGTCCAAGTCAGAAAACCCAGCACATGGTGGGGCCTAGACCTTGGGCATGTCACTTATCATCTCTAGGTTTCAGTTTCCCCATGTGCAAAAACGCCTTTCTCACAGTGGGTTGCAATAAGTAAATGAAGTAACATATCTGAAACTGCTTTGAAACTCCCCTGTACCATGCAATTGTAAGTATAAAATACTCTTCTAATCTTACAAGAAGAGAGGTGCTAGATGAGCCTCCAGGCTACATTGCTCTCCTGCTGCCATAGAACATACTATAGAGTGAAACCACCCCACAATGAGACCCCTTTTAGTTTTTTCAGTACCCAAGACATTCCTAATGATAAATTCTGCCTTGTGGCAAATAATGCTGTGGAGATGTCACAGTACATTGATTTTGATTCATCAAAATTTTGCCTCATCTTTTGATATACATAATGCATCGAATTTTATTTTCTTTACCCTGCTAGCTCTTCCTCAGCAGCTCCAAATGCTGTCTGGCCTAACTGCTGTAATTCAGTTGCCATTTCCAGTTGAGAGCTGGTGTGTCCCAACTACCATTTCCAACAGGGAACCTAGCAATTCTGGAAATTTCAGAAGAAAGGTGCAAGAGACACTAACAAGGCAGAGATGAGAAAGCCAGCCAACTTTTCATGCAAGGACATTCACCTCTGTGACCTTGATCAACCACTGGTGGGTGGGGGGATAGTGAGCCCCAGAGCTGGTTGCCGATGCCTCCACTGTGCTCCCAAAAGAACAGAATTATTTTCTGTATGTGTGTTGTCCCAGTGAAAGTTAGGGAACATAGTCTGATGGCATAGGGTGCATATTGTCTATTTCAAAATCTCTATCTCCTTTAATTGTCCCAACCATTTTCTTTTCCTGCCCATTTCACAGATGAGCAACTTTGAGCTAGAAAGAGGGCATGTGACTACCCCAAGGTCACAGAAAATCATTAGAACTGCCAGGACAGGCTCCCAAACCTTCTCTCCTCTTCTAGTCGCTTTTCCTCCTTTCCTCCCTTCCTTCCTCCTTTCATGCTTTGTTTCTGCTTTTTAATAAGTTGTGTACCTATTTTAATTTTAGAAAAGGGACATCAAAAAAAAATCTTCTTGTTCCTTTCTTTAAAAAATGAAAAATTTGAAAAGTAAAGAGTAGAAAGACATCCCCCAACCTGTGAACATTCAAATATAAATAAAGCTAATTCACACTTAAGTGATTTGTATTCTGTCTCTTTGCCGCCATTGTTTGCATTTGTGATAGTGATGGTCCTTGTTGTGTGGTTTGGTTTTTACTGTTTTAAACATGCTGTCTATACAAGGTAGTATTTTACTTTTGTAACTTAGTATTATAACTTCACCATTTGCCCATGTTGCTTAATTGTTAGAGACATCATTTTAATAACCAAGGGATATTCCTCAATAATATTTTGTTGCATGGGTAAGCTACGGTTGCAGGTCCTTTAAAATTAAAATTAATTCTTAAAATACATATATGCCCTGTACCTCAGTCACCTCTGCTGGACAAACGTTCTTCATCCCGAGACAGAGGGAGGCTTCTGGGATAACCATAGAGATAAGCAAAGCAAACTTGAATTTCCAAAATCCATGATTGCCTGAAAAGTATCTTCTTGAGTTCTCACTAATTTTATAAAATTTCAACCTACTAATTTTTAAAGGAAACCCTTAAGAGACACTACTAAAGAAAAGGAAAAATAGAAAATTTCTATAACGAGGGCCCTCTCCACGTACTTAACAACACATTTTTTAAACAGAAAGATGCTTTTTTGCCAATATTGTTTTTCTTTTTTCCAATAGAACCCAAGGCAAGTTATTCGTCACAAACCATGCTTCTTCGTGATGCAAGGTAATAGTTTTCTTTTGGGATAAATCAGGTGGAAACTCCTGCTTAGGGACAATGTTTCAGCAGCCCTTGAAGAACCCAAGACGGGGCGTGGCATGGAGTAGGGGAGGAAGGAGGAGTTTAGTGGGGCTCCCAGAAGTTACAACCCTGCTTGCCTCTGCCCCTCAGTCACTCACAGGGGAGGGGTAGGTCTCAAGATCAGAGTCCTGGGTGCTCAGAACCACTAGAGATGAAAGGGGCAGAGGTTGTCTGAGCCTGGGGAAAAGGTCTCAACCAGGAGAGACTGCAAAGGGCTCGCAAGCAGTGCTGTCAGGGAAGCAGATGAATGAATGCCCCCAAGGGAAGGTGCAGTGTGTCCAGGAAGAGAACAGGTTTAGGCATATTTCCAAGGCCTGAATTCTCATTCAGTGAATACTCATTAAAATCCTGTGACAGGACTTGGCGCACACTAGACGGTCAGTGAAGTATCTGTGGAATAAGTGAGCCTCTGTGGAATATGCTGGGCCTGCTACGTGCCCAGCTGCAGGGGTCCACCAGCCTTGTCCTTGGCTTTTTGTCTTGTCCCCTACACTTTTTCCCCAAAGGATAATTTATCTCCACTAGATCTAAAAAAAGCACAGGGCCAGTTTAGTTACGGCGAGAAGCAGGAATGAAATCCCAGTTTTGCCAAGTAGGGGACCCATAAGTTACAACTTGAGGGCACAGGGCTCCCACGCAGGGCTGTCCCTTGACCCGGCGAGGCAGCCCCACTCCAGCTCTAGTCCCCGCTGCACACCTCCAGGGCTGCTGCAAGGCCTCTGACAGGTAACTCCACTGCAGGTGATGCACAAACGAGGGAGTGGCTTTCCAAAAGCCCCCGTTCACCCCAATCGCTGACACTCAAAGCAAGTGAAGCAATGTGGCCAGACACAGTGAAGGGGCCCGACAGTGATGTGACCACCTTAAAAATATTGAGAACTGGGGCTTTGGAGCCAGACTGCCTGGGTTTGAAACTCAGCTCCTCCATCCAGGCAGCCACTTCATCTCCTTGTACCTCAGTTTCTTCATCTGTAAAATGGGGAGAGGAACAGTTCCAGCCTCACGGGGTTTTGGTGAGGATGAAATGTATATTTACTGAGCAGGAGGCTGAACAGTGACCAGCAGACAGCACACTCTCAGTAAGTGCTGCAGATCCGTGTCATCCTCCATTCTGCACCCCACGAACCACCACGTAGAAAACTTAGCATGCCCTGAACAAGAGTCAGGATTCCTGGTCAGCTTTATTCCAAACACACACACCCAGCCAACCCTTTGTTCCTATTTCAGCTGAGGGGGTTTCCAATGGGTTCCCAGGGCCCATGGAGAGCTGTGAGGATCAGAGAGGCCCTGGGGGGCCTTCCTGGTGTCCACATCAGGCTTGGGTCCCCCAGGGGCCAGATCTGGGCCTCCAAGTTCTCAGAGAGGCCCAGGATATTCTTCACATGAGAAAGTTGAGAACCCAAACCTTCCACAGACTCCTTTAGGCAGTAAGTGTTACATTCACACATGCACATGTGTGAGAGGCAAGGGTTGGGGAAGGATAGCAGGTACAGATCAAGCGTGTCATGTGTCCCTTATAAACAGAAAGGCTATCAGCCACCCCAGGCCTGGAGCGGCTCCCTCTCTCACTTCCCCATTTACTGAAGATCCTCCAGGCACATGCCAGGCCCTCCCCTCGCTAAAGCACTACAGAAGCAGGCCTTGAACAGTCCAACTCCCCAGGATCCAGGATCCAATGTCTCCACCCTGTGTCCTCTCCATCACAATGGAACATGGGGCTAGTGTTCAGCCCAGGCGACTGGAACCTGGTTCTGCTTCCTGGGAGGTGAGCCCTGGCAGGAACCCCAGAAGGCCCTGTGATGACCCAGTCTGGAGCAGGCACAACAGAGAGCATATGGGGGGAAATGTACTTGATAGTGGAAATAACCAGAGAAGCCAATATTATGAGATAACTCTCTAAGTTTGTTTAGCAGATTTGACTTTTCTAAGTCCTTTCATGAGAACTGGCATCATTTCTGTAGTTCCAGTGGGCACCAGGTGAGTGAGGTATGACAGTTATCTCGCTAGAAGGATAAAGAAACTGAGGCCCTGGAGAGTCTACTCACCTGGCCTTGGGGCCTGGAGCAGGACAAGAGTTGCCATGGACCTGAGGAACTCACCTGCATCCACCTGTTCTGAATCCCTGCGGTCACCTGTCCTAGGATCCAAACATCTGGCCACTTGCCCAGGGGCCCCTTCTTGATGGTGTGCCCTAAGAACATAGCTGCTCAGCCCCAGCCTGCAGGGCTGGCACAGACCCAAGCTCCCCTACTTGTCCCTCAGAGGCACCTGCAAGATCTGCCTATAACTCCTATAGACCCTGAAGGGAGCCTTCCCAGGGCACCCACCTGTGAGAACGAACAGCCTCTGCTCTGTCCCTCCACCTCTTTGCCTGAGCCCTTACCCAGACTCCAGCCCTTAACCCACTCCCCGCCCCTACACTGAGTTCCCTAGTGCAGATGAGGACAGGCCTAACTTACTTCCTCTGCAAGAGTAACAGCAAACAAGTAACTTACCCCAAGTGCCTCCACTATGTTGCAAGAGCCAACATTTAAGCTCAAGTGTCAAGAGTTGACACCAAAGTCTATGCCTTTTCTACCAACCATAGTCACCACCTACTTATATGTTGGGGATTTTTTTATTGTGCCCATCTCTGCCAACTGGGCCAGTTGACATGAAATAACTCCAGGGCCAAAATACCCCAAAGACCCCTCTCCTTCATTTGAATTAATTTCTTGCCCCTAGTGAAAAGCCAGAGACTCCTGAGAAAGAACACAGTGTGGGTTGATGTGTCAGGGTCATCCCTCTTGATCCTAAGCTGTCAGGTAGTGGAGCCTGCACCTCACACCCAGTGCCCTGCCCTCAGGCCCTTTGGAAAGCCTTCCTAATGGTGGTGGTGTTTGTGGTGAGCCGATTGCAGGGACAGACCTCAGTGCTTAATTTTAAACTGCTGCAGCATCTAATTCAGTATCTTTTCCACTCTGCCCAAAACAACTGTGAGGCAGGGAGAGGCACCAGAATAAGCAGGGTTGTGAGCCAGGAAAGGAGGAGACTGTTCTGGAACATCTGTCAGTTATGACCACCTGGCCCAGTGGCCTTTGAAGGCAGCCACAGATCCTCTCATGGTTTAGTGAAGCAGCAGTGGCAATGTGTGGCTCTGCTGCCCAGAGTGACACATTGGCCTATTTTTCATGATTCACAGCTCGTCTCTTCAAACCTCGAGACGTCCATCATCCGGGTCTGGATGTCAAGAGCAACCCTTCAACCCCTAGCATGCCTTAGGAGGGGTTCCTGACCTGGCCCCTGTCTGGAAGTTGACCTTCCTGTTCTCCCCTCTGGCAGGAGCCCAGACGCTGGCCCCTCTCAAGCAACCAACTTCTTGACTGTCCCGTTGACTTCCATGACCCCTTCTGCCATCTCTGAATCTGCCACAGAGTCTTCTGAGTCGCTTCTGACGTTGTACAGGAGGAGCCAGGCCAGTCAAACGGACTGGCACTACGGCGGAACTGCCGGTGAGGAAAGCTGAGCTCTGTCGGCGAGGCCCAGCCGGGCTCTGTGGGCTGGGGGAGTAATGGTCTTGCAGCATTTTGTGCATGTGAAATATTGTAGCTTGAGTATTGCCTCTCACACTAATGATATCCTACTGTTTCCGTTGCCCTCTGAGGTCTCATTTTGGGTAAGTTGTTAACTCCTCTCCTAGCCTTGCTTCCCGTTTCCTCCCATCCCAGACCCCCCTCAGAGAAAGAGCATCAGCAAAGTGCTGAAACAAATAGCTTCTTCCATCTTTCCGTCTCCTCCCCTGTTTTTCATTCATCTTCCTATTCTTGTTCTACATGAACACAGGCACAATTTCCCTCAGGGACACAGGCCATTTTCTTCCCAGATTATACACTGGCTCCCTGGGGTGACAGACCATATCCAGATAATCATGTGGAAAATGGAAAATGGGACATGGGCCCACCACCGACAGTCTCAGCGTGAGGTCGAAGCCAGCCCTGATTCAGAACCCACCAAAACTATCTATGTAGTGAAACTTCGTGGCTACAGCTCAGACACACGGGAGAGAGTCTGGCAAAATTGCATTAAGGGTCTTCATTCTCTACCCAATTAAGCCCCGAAATCCTCACTCTGGGACCCTGGGGGTGGAAGACCGAATAGCATTTCTTGCCATTATTAATGATTTAAATCCAGCCTTAGTGGGATCGATCCATCACTGATTCACAGATTTATTTCACATCTGTAGTCATGGCAGCAGTAAATTAGATTCCCCCGTCACCTCCCCTCCCTGCCCCTATCCATGGCTGCTAAATTTTGTAGCTCCAATGTGGTTAAATGAAATTAGGAGGCAGAAACTCTATAAGAGAGAATGGAGAGGCAGAGGACAGGCACACACTGCCAGTATGTGCAGAGGAGTGTTCCACAGGCTACATCGGTTCACTGGGAAGCTTTTTCAGTTCTGTGTGCTCCCACAGAGCCCCAAGAACTGGAACTATCTCAAAGTCAGTAAGCATGACCACCGAGAAAATCTGAGCATTTATGTAAATATTCATAAGGATTATGAAAGTCATTTACTGAGTAATTGCCAGTCAAGTGCCAATGCTAAGCTTGAAAGGATGTGGGAGAGGAGAAAGGTAATGGGAAAAGGCTGGGGTATGCAACAGAGGGGACTTGAGCCTGTTCACACCACTGTGGACCCAACCCACGGGCTGGCCACATGCCTGAAGAGGGCGACAAAGAGGAACCAGGAAGCACAAAACTGAAAATGTAGCTTTCTAGCGCTTATCAGAACCCCTGCTTGAAACATCCTGGAATCTGCGTTCTTAACCAGATCCCCAGAAGCTGCTCAGGGACATGAACGATGAGGAACTGGAGAACCTCTAGTTTAAGATGAATTGGTTTCAAGGCTCCCTCTTCCAAAGCATGATTTTATTATGAGATTGTTCAACCACAATGAGTCAAAAAATGGTGTTCCACATGGCTCAGCCTTTCTCGACAAATAGGACTTTGGTCAAATATGGAGGAAAATATACCCAGGTAAATCCTCGGGACCTATGACTGCAGAGGGTGGCAGGTCTGACACAGAAAGGCTGCAACAGGCACAGGAAATGCTTCGTGATCCATATAAGGAGACGCTCTGGAGGACCGGAAACACTAGTTATGGCCTCATGTATCTATCCAGGCACAGAGCAGGATTATAAACCAAGTCAGCCAGAAATTCAACACAGAGCATCACATCCATGCTCACAGAAATCCTCCAGACTTAGTGCCTGGCACACAGTAAGCATGAATGTTTAATAAATACTTGGGAAATTGTTGTTGAGCCCTCATCTGATTCAAGGTCAGATCATGGTGATAAAAGGGTATACACCACTACAAAAAAATTAGTCTTAGTAGGAAAGGAGCTCTGTAGATAGAAATATGTACACATAGAGACATTGTGTGTATAGAAATGTGGCTGAGAATACACAGAGGTGTAAGCAGAGGTCAGATGTAGCATTAGTCTGTTTCCATGCTGCTGATAAAGACATACCTGAGACTGGGTAATTTATAAAGAAAAAGACGTTTGATGGACTCACAGTTCCACGTGGCTGGGGAGGCCTCACAATCGTGGCAGAAGGGAAAGGCACGTCTTACATGGCAGCAGCCAAGAGAGAGAACTGAGAACCAAAGGAAAGAAGTTTCCTCTTATAAAATAATCAGGTTCACGAGACTTATTCATCACTACAAGAACAGTATGGGGGAAACCGCCCCCATGATTCAATTATCTCCCAGCAGGTCCCTCCCACAATACGTGGGAATGACAAGAGCTACAATTCAAGATGAGATTTGGGTAGGGACACAGCCAAACCGTATCAGATGGGGAAGAGGATTGACAGCTCTCAAAAGCGCAAACTGGTGTGTTTCCTTCAGTGGACTCAGATTTTGAAATATCACATACAGAGGTTAAAGAGATGAGGATGCTCTCAACAATAAATACAGGAAAATGGCTGTGAACTTTAAGAATAGTGTCAGGAAAGCTGAATCAATCCCAGGATAAACATTCTTACCAAAACATAATAATAATAATAGTGATCACACAGGCAGCAGCAAAAGACGGAGGCCCATTTAAAACAGAATTGAGCCAAAAAAAAAAAATCAAGACAGGCAGGCTAGTACTGTTTAGTGTAGTGTTGATGAATGATTCAGGGAAAAATCAAGTTGTTCAATTGCTATTTAATTTTGACTTTGCTGTAAAAAATAATTATTCTCAAACTGAAAAGAGTGCAACAAAATTAGGTGAGAAATAGCAGGAACTAAAGATTGGTGAAACGAAATCAAAAGAGAATGGTAACTGCTGTCTCCTGATCTGGATAAAATATACTCCAGAATGTGTACATAGTGAGAGAATAGCTTAATCTTGCCTCTGGTTTTTGAGGAATTGTGGGAAGTTGGTGAAATGAGTCTGTGGCCAATCTGGGACAAACACTGAGAGCAAAATGATCGCAAGAAACCAGCCTAAGATCAATAGAAGCCAATCACATAATACTGGCCTTGAGGTCACTTTTTGACAAGGTTATCAGATTAGGGAACTGTGGAAACCCCATAGGGCGAAATTCCACGAGACATTTCATTTCCAAAGGCTTCCTGATGTTCCTGGACAAGATAGAGATATATTAGGTGGGTGGCTACTGTAAGATGATGTCATCACTAATAATAACTGATTGAACAGCACTCCAAGATACTGTTTCATAGATCAGAGTTGACCCGGTTTCCAGCAGAGAGCCGTGGGGCTCTGTCCAGTAGAAAACTTTTTATAATAGGCTTGGATGCAGATTTAGAAGGAATATTTATATTTATAGATGCCCTGAAGCTGTTGAATGCTGAGGATAACATAATCAGATTCTAAAAGATTTTGGCAGGCAGAAACATCGGACCAGAATTAGCTAGATAAAAGATATTGGTCATTGATATTAGATCCTCCTATCAGGCCCCCAAAAACAGCAGGCTGGAGAAGTGCAGAGTGAGGAAGCCCTGTTTGTTGTTAGATGCTTTCTTCAACCACAAGCTCAATAATTCAATAGCATAATTGATGTCACTGCCAAAAAAGTTAACACAGCCAGATACAACTGAAAGGTTATATAAAGAGGATTTCATCCTGCTCTGCCCCACATTGGAGTACCATCCCTGGAATGGCACGTTCAGTTTGGGGGATACCACACTAAGAACTAGAAGCAGCTTGGTGGGGGCTCAACAGAAAGGCTGGTGTCCTGGACAGTAAACTGCCGACTACCTCACACAAAGAACTGCTGAAGCAAAGGAGGATGTTAAGTCTGGAAGACACATGACTCTGAGATGTAAAAACTGACTTTAAATATTTGACAATCTGCCACACAAAACCAAGACCTGAGTCTTACACTCCAGACTGAAGGGCTAGAATAGGACACTAATGCAATCCCACAGAAATATTTTAAGAAAAGAAATTATACCTAACAGTCAGAACTGTGCCATGGCACAGTGAGTTTTCTTGAAGTTGGAGAGCTCCTTGTCTGTAGAAGTGCCGGCGTCTTGCTGAAGAACTAATAGGCACTGATACGGTAAGTGTTCAAAGTCCTCTTAATGCCACAGGCCACCACACAAGGTTTTGTTTTTGTTTTGTACCCTGTTCATCTTGAATTTAGGACCCTCCCATAAGCTGGTGGAGCAGTTTACTTGGCTTTTTCATCATGGCCCTATTAGTCCCTGCTATTAAAAATGGAATGGGCTGGGCGCGATGGCTCATGCCTGTAATCTCAGCACTTTGGGAGGCTGAGGCAGGTGGATCACCTGAGGTCAGGAGTTCGAGACCATCCTGGTCAACATGGCAAAACCCCATCTCTACTAAAAATACAAAAAGTAGCCAAGTGTGATGGCACACGCCTGTAATCCCAACTACTCAGGAGGCTGAGGCAGGAGAATGACTTGAACCTGGGAGGTGGAGGTTGCAGTGAGCAGAGATCGCACCACTACACTCCAACATGGGCAACAGAGTGAGACTCTGTCTCAAAAAAAAAGAATGGAATGTAGGGTGTGTATGTGTGTGTCTGTGTGTGTGTGTGTACACACACGTGTACACACATGTATTTAGCATTTAGGAGTAGGAAGACAAATACCAGGGAAAGAGGAAAAAGGAACAGAGATCATAAAGTTCCAGAAGACAGAAAACAAGGGTAATCAAGAACTCACGAAAGTCCTAATGTATATATACAGTAGCTTCCCATTGCAAATCTTAGCAGATCTATCCTACGCAATCCCCATGTTTCCCATCCAGTCCCCATTACACACCCCGTGGTCACAGAGCAGACACGCTACTTCGTACAGTGACAGGCACACCGCATTGTGTGTCTACATGGCCTTGGAGCCACTTGGTTCTATGGTTCCTACAGCAGGAGGGATACCTATAAGTCTTCCTCTTACCCTGCCTCAGCCCTTCCAGCTATCCTGAGGACCGAAACTAGCCTCACGGTAACCAGATTAGAAGGCCACAACAGGGTTACATTTTCTGACCACTAATTTATTGCAATCCTAGAGTGATTTACCAAAGCCAAAGGGGTTGGGGTGCAGTGGGGCATCTATATATGCCAGCTGTACCCACCAGCCTCAGTTCCCCCAAACTGTTGACCAGCCTTGGGTGCCAAGAAAGAACCTGAGACCCCAAATACCCAGTATGAATCCACTGGAAAATGTAAGGTTTAAATCATTAATAGCCATCCTCTTCTGCCTTTTAACAGTAAAATCTTTAAAATCGAAATCAGAAACAGAACAAGAAACCACCACGAAGCCTGCTCCAAAAGGTAAACTTTATGATGATTTTAAATGATCTGTAGAAGTTAGTCATCCATCCTGGAGAAGGTAAGAAGCACAAAATCAGCCTGCCCCCAACCAAGGAGAGCATGCTGTTGGCCATTTTAAAACAGAGCAGGCTTAATGGAGGCCAATGGCCAAGGCATTATTTCTGGAATTTAATGTCAAGGCTCCAGGCTCAGGTAAGACATTGAGCCAGAGAGTTAAGTGCTCTGGCATTTTGAAAGGAGAGGAAACAATATTTGTCACTGCAATTAGGAGGGAAGATAATGGTGTTACCCATACTTAGTTCATGCAATGACATTTACTATATCCCTACTGTATATGAGGCAGGATATAAAGTAGACAAAACCCATCTCACCCTCTCAGAACCTGAACTCTAGTGGGCAAGATACAATAAGAATAAAGGGAGGGGAATCAATATTCAGTGAATACGTGCTGCAGGCCTCCAACTGCTGAAAATCAAGGAAGCCTCTTATCCTAAAACACGTGCACTCCACCCTGAGGCTTCCCAGCTATCTAGGAGGTGATTTTTAAATTGATTCTATAAGGGATTAAAAGGTCTGGACTAGTTCACCATACCGTATCCTGTTAATAATTTTTCCTATTCTTTTTTAGAGTGTGTTAGCACGAAAGTACAGCAAAAAGAGGAAGAAAATGGTGAGCATCTGACATAATATATCCAAAGATCCCTGCTTTCTGCAGAGTGCCCTGGGTGGGGAAGGTGCCCCTGGCAGGTGGCTCCCTCTGTGATCCAGCATGCCCCTGGGCCCAGAGGGGACTGAGGGGCATCCTAGGCACATGGCCCCCGAACCTCCTCAAGAAGGAGGCTAAAACGAGAAACAGAGAGAGGGTCTCTGAAGGGACAGGACTGAAAGTCCATCTTCCTACTCAAAAGCTTGAGATAGGGACTCCCACATTTAAGAGCATCCAGGGAGTTGCTGGATTCCCTGAGGCCCGGGAAGTAGGCTTGACTGGGATACCTGCACCTCCCCAGATAGACTCAGGGTCCTATGGCATCTTGGTAATGAATAAATTGGAGCCCTTACAAATGGTGTCTTAAAGGTTTATTAAATGCTTTTTAAGAGGGGGTTGGTTGAATCCTACAAGGGGGAAGAACAGGGGAGAATCCTTAGGGCAGCAGAATCCCAACTTGTGAGCACCACTCCCCAAAACAAAAGCCTGCAATTAACCAGACCCATCCTCATTAGAACACAATTTAGGGACTAAGATCTGTTTTACTTGAACATAGGGGTAGTGGGAGATGGATCAGTCTTACATACACACAACAGCTGCTTATACCGCCATCCCCACCCCATGGCTTATCAAATAAACTCTTGTAAACTCTAGAGTATGCATCCCACCCAACCCATCACACCGTCAGAAGGGTACTGACAAACAGTTTTCTCCATCTTATTCCATTTCCATGGGCATTTTAGAGCTGCCATACTCAAACTTTAATATGCAGGACAACTACCTGGGAATCTTGTTTAAAAGCAGATTCTCATTCAGCAGATCTGAGATTTGAGATCTGACCTTTCTTTTTTCTTTAGACAGCGTCTCCCTCTGTTGCCCAGTGGTGTGAGAACAGCTCACAACAGCCTCCACCTCCCAGGTTCAAGTGATTCTCCCACCTCAGCCTCCTGAGTAGCTGGGACCACTGGCATATGCCACCCACGCCTGGCTAATTTTTTATTATTAAAGAGACTAGGTCTCACTATGTTGCCCAGGCTTGTCTCAGCTTCTGGGCTCAAGCAATCCTCCCTCCTCAGCTTCCCAAAGTGCTGGGATGCTAGGTGTGAGCCACCGTGCCTGGCCAGGTTTGGTCTTTCTAACAAGTTTCCTTATCCACGGACCACACTTTGAGTAGCTAGATTTTAGAACAGTTTATAGATTTGTACCCACAGCAGCCACCAGCCTAACCTGACCCTTTAGCCATCTGCCTAGGATAGTAGGGAATTCACTGTGAAACATGGAGAAGGTGAAAACAGGATCGAGTTTCATCTGTGTGCTTGTCAATCAGTGGCACTGGGTTGCTCATTTCTCAGAGACAGCCCTAGGCTAGTCACTTACTGCTTTTCCCCAACCTTTCCTCATCTACTGTTAAAGAAAAAATTATTCATTGATACTTGTTAAAGCCCAGTAAGTAGACTTTATTCAGAACCACTGTGGTCAGTTTAGAGACAACAGCAATGAGATTTTGCAGGAGGGGAAAGAGCTTGGGCTCAAGTCCAAATACAGCATGGGCAAGTGAGAAATTATACCCAAGGAGCAGGGTAGAGGTCAGTGGATGGAAAATCACTAAGAAGAAAGCATGGGGAATTCTGAATAAACCAACCTAATAGGATTCTTGCTGAGCATGGGTCAGGTGATCAGATATTAACCAGATGATGGTGGAGGATGAAGAACCTCATTAGATATTGAGGGAGATCGGATATTGAGGGTAGGGGTTCTTGTTAAACCAACTTAACAGGGTTCTTGCTAAAACTGGATTTTATAAGGAAGTGCACAGATGGGCCTAGGAAAAGATTCAGGAGCCCGACTCAAGTTTGGTCAAGCAAAGAATCTTTGTCACATAATGTGGGAATTATAGTATTTACCCCTCAGGGCAAATACACACAGCTCATTTATCCCAAATTCAAGAATGATTGTTCAGTCAAGAAAAATGTTAAGAGGTTGGGTGCAGTGGCTCATGCCTGTAATCCGAGCACTTTAGGAGGCCGAGAAGGAAGGATCACTTGAGGCCAAGAGTTTGAGACTAGCCTGGGCAACATAGCAAGACCTCATCTCTACAAAAAATTTAAAAATTAATCAGGCATGGTGGTGTGTGCCTGTAGTCCCAGCTACTCAGGAGACTGAGGTGGGAGTATTGTCACAGTTAGCCGTGATCACAACACTGCAATTCACCCTGGGCTACAGAGAGAGACCCTGTCCCTAAAACTTTTCTTACATAAAAAAGAAAAATGATAGAGGAGAGGCACTTGAATAAGGAAGAGTTAAGATTTGTTCTTAATCCCAGTACTTTGGGAGGCTGAGGCCAGCGGATCACGAGCTCAAGAGGTAGAGACCATCCTGGCCAACATGGGAGAACCCCGTCTCTACTAAAAATACAAAAATTAGCTGGGCATGATGGCATGTGCCTGTAATCCCAGCTACTCAGGAAGCTGGGGCAGGAGAATCGGTTGAACCCACGAGGCAGAGGTTGCAGTGAGCCAAGATCACGCCACCGCCCCCCCACTTGGGCAAGGGGCCGTCCAAAAAAAAAAAAAAAAAAAAAAGAGATTTGTTTTTAATCAGACCATGGGAAAACATGCTGCTCCACCTGGGGAACAGTGTGTGCTAGCTCTGACCTACATTAGCACTAGTCCTCTGAGCCACCCTCAAGATGAGTCTTATTGTCCCATGGCACAGATACGGAGCTGAGGTGCAAGGGGGACACGCAACAGTGACATGCCGGAAGTGGCCCAGGTTCCGGATGACAGAACCACCACTGGAACTTGGCCTGAGACTCCCCCTGGCCCTTCCCATCCTCCCGTAGAGTGACTTCAGGAGGAGATAATGATATCACTAGAAGAGAGGTAGAGGTTGACAGATATCCCCAAAGGGAAAATTAATTAGAAATAAGGCTTTTTCTTCTCATTCAGCCCCAGCGACAGCTATGATACTGCTTATTTACACTTGACATGTTGACAGTGCCCAGCCATGTTAATAAGCTTACTTATTACTTTGAATCGAATGCTCCTGAGCAGCACTGTTGGGTATTCAGCGCTGCCAAGTTCACCTTCTTCCCGTGATAAACACCTCCTTTTGTACCACCTCACATTATTATTCAATACGCATTATTCAAAAATTAAAAAAACTACTAAGATATGGCAATCGCAAATGATAGGAAGTTGTTGAGTTACCAGGGCCACAGTCGTACTCGTCTCCATCCCGGGCAGGCACATCTGAGGCAGGCTCAGAGCATCTTCCACAATAGCCTGCTCCTTGGTCTCTCAGGCCCCTTTTCTACCAGTTCATTCATTTCTCCTCTCTACTGCCACCCACAAGGAGCATCCCTAGTGCTTGCTTGAATTCCCAAGGATTCTTGCTGGGTTTTCCTCCATGGTTTTTTTTTTTAAAAAAACTTCCTTGGTCGTTTCCATGGCAGACAGTTCAGGAACACATGGTGTTTTTAGAATCAAGCTGAACATGCCCTTGCCTTTCCCCTGTCGTGGGTATGCCAGTGGGGGTGGTATTGTGTGCACCTGTGGGAAGTGATGGAAGAATTGCCAGGGAATTCTGGAAGCATGGGGCCCACCTCATATGCGGCAAGTCTGTCAGGCACAAGCCAAGGCTACAGGAGAAGGTTTGCAAGCAGAGAGGCCCCAGGCCTTTGTGGATAAAGGCAGCCCCAGCTCAGTAAAATTCTCCATCCCAGGAGGAGCCCGAAGGAGTCAGAGTTTTTGCTACAGAGCCAAAATTGGGAAGAACAACAAAAGTAATGTGTAGAGATCACAAGGAACATCCCATCTCTGTCCCCAAAGGCATAAGAAGGACACAGAATCAGTCTAGGGCCAACCTGGCAGGGTTCCCAGGTTCTCCAGAGGGGCTAGCTGGAAAGGGCTGGTGTCATCAGAAGCTGAGACAATCGGCCACCATCATTTTCCTGGGGGCCCAATTATCATGCCAGAGCCACTTCCTCTGAGTTCTTCTCTCAGAATCACCTTCCTAGGAGTATGGAAGAGAGGCCCAAGTTGTACTGATCAGTTCCACAACTCAGCTTGCACCCCAGCTCCACTGGAGGCTCCAAGCTACTCTTCTGGCCTGGAGAGTCACCAGGCAGCCGCTGACCTTTGTAGGAACAAGGGCATTCGCTGTCTCTGGAAGACGTTCTCCATCCAGCTCACTGGCTCAGGGATTCATCTCTTACGCTCTGATTAGTAATAATGAATCATATGCAATTCTAGAAATTGGCAAATTTTGACAAGCCTGGTGGAAGACAGATATATTTCTTGACATTTCCAAGTGAAAATCACACTCGGAATAAGTCTGCCTCAGAACAAAATCTAAAGTCCTTCCCATAGCCTACAAAGTCCTTTGAAAGCTGGCCCCAGCCCACCACCTGCCCACCTACTCCTCCCTCCCTCACCCGCTCCTGACTCCTCTCTGACCTCCCCTCAGGATGGGCAACTTCATGCCTACTCTACTGCGGGCATACCATAGGGTTCCCCTGGCCATGTGTCAAACACGCCCCTCCCACACTCACCTCAGGGCTTTTGCACCTCCTAGGCCTCTGCTGGAATGTGGCCTTCTGCCTGTGCATTCCTTACTTCACTCAGGACTCATTCAAAGACCACTTTGTCAGACTGACCCTCACCAGCCACCAGGAACACACGCTTGCTTTCTGAAGTCAGCCACTGAAACTGACCCTCTTATTCCTATTTTATTAGTACTCTCAAGTTGAATTTTAGGACATGTGATTAACCTATTTAATATATCATTGATGATGTATGCATTTTTTGGAAGGGCAAAGGTAAATACCATCAATCTATTTCTATTCTTTTTAAATTTTTTATGTTTTTGGTTTTCTTTCCACATGCCCTTCTTTTTGATGCTCCTTCCAAAACTGAAAGTCATGGAGTTTGCTTCTAAAGAGAACTTTTGGGATGGTATAACAGATGAGTCCATTGACAAGCTGGAAGCGGAGGACTTAGATGAACATGTAAGTTGGATAAAAACTTGAGACCCAGCCCCCGCTCCAAATGTTAGAGCAGGGTGGCCCAAGCCCAGCCCAGGCAAGCTGGCTGAGGTCTTGGGATCTGAGGACCTGGGTTTTCTTTTTGTCTCATATACCCCAGACTGGGTGTTAAAGACAGCAACCCAGAAACTCCAACAAGCATAGACAGAAAAACCCCAAGGAAAGCCTACTCCCTCTATGTAGATGGGGCAACCTGGCAAGACAGAAAACTCCAGATGCTAACCTCTCTACTCCAGGCAGGCACCACAGCAAATAGCAGTGGTGTTTCTCTCCCATCTTTGCAGGCCTGTGACCATGACCACCCTACAGAGAGATACAGAACCAGCCCTGGAAATTCAACAGGGTGCTCTCCCCAGCCGTTCCCAATCACCAGAGGGGACATGGGGGAGTCATCATGGTTTCAATAAGCCTTACATCCACTGGATGTTTTCTTGTCTTTAAGACAAAATTTTTGTTATAATTTTGTAAATATGCCACATGAATATTTTGCCTACGGGGGGCAGCCTAGTGGCTCGAATTTCCTGCGTCAGCTTCCTCTAGGGCTTGCACTCCATGCTGATTCTGAGGGAAGCATTATTATGCATCCTGTCCTCGCCTGCTAAGACTTCTCAGATTGTAGGTGCTGACTACAATCCTAAAAATGAAATCTTGTGTCTCTGGAACCCAAAGTTAAGCAGATATGTTTTCCTAAATTTATAAAAGAAAAGGCAAAAAACTAAATATTTCATTGTTAAAATGTTTTTAATTGAGAAATTTTCTGGTCTCAGTTCATATTTAGCCCTAAATTCTATACTTGCCTCTATAAAGCACCATATTACTAAGATTTACTGAAATACTACAATGAAGGGAGAAAAAAAATGACATAAATTTAGATTTACTGCTTTGGATTTACAAAGGTAGGAAAGTAAACATGGGCATTTTGGAAAGATTTTTCAACTAGAGTTGAAACCTGAAGGAATTGTTTTAATTAGACACAAATTATTCAGAAAACTTCAAGGCTCCTGTCCATTGATGTTTAGCTATATCAGGTGGCACTGAATTCTCAGGTGACAGACACATCTCCGTGTGTGTTCTGGAAGGACATAGCAGATCTGGGAGCATTCCAGAGTTTTCCTTGGGACAGGTGGGCTAAGCAGGGGAGCTCTCATCACAAGCACCGTGACATTCCAGGACTTTGCTACTAAAGGATTTTAGGCAAGAATGTGACACAATCAGACTTGTTTTTAATTTCTGTAAGTATTTTGATTCAAACTCCCTAAACAATCTAGCTTTTACATTGAGAAGCTACCATGTGCACACCCTTTTAAAATATTGAAGTAGTAAAGAAGGCTATGAAATAAATGTTTCAAGCCTCTACTTCTTTACTTTAATAAAATAACTGCTGTATACTGCTATTTATGTATCCTGGAAATTTTAACACATATATACATATAAATGTCTTTTAAAACACATGCATATCCACAAATGGAATCATGATGTACATTCTGGTCTATAACTTACTTTTCCCTTAATAACATATTTCGGAAGCTTTGATATTCCATTACATCTTGTACCATAATTTAACTAGCGCCCTGTCAATGGATGTCTAACTTGTTTCCAGTCTTGTGTGTGTGTGTGTGTGTGTGTGTATGTGTGTACATATAAATATATATATATGTATTCAATGCAACGAATTGTACATATATTATTACATACAAATGCAAGTGTATGTAAAGAATACAATTCTAGCAGTTGATGCTGGAACCAGAACTATCTGCATCTTTAACTCAAAAAGCTTTGACAAATTTCCCCACCAGTAAGTTGTACCATTTTCCTATTCCCACCTAGAAGGCACGAGAAGGCCTCCTTCATCGTATCCTCGACCACCAAGGGACATAATTCTGGCCCATCTGATAGGGTGAAAATAGCATCTCATTTTTGGTTTTTGCATCTCCTCCATTAAGAAAGGTGCTAGGCATTTTCACAATTATTGGACATTTGTGTCTCTCTATGAGTGGCCAGTTGGTGTTGTCTTCTCTTCTACCAAGTTGCTTATTTCTCTTTCTTTCTGATTTGTGAGGGCTTTTAATATATGAAAGAACTTAATTCTTTTTCTGACATACATGTAAATTTGTTTCCAGTTTGTGTTTTGTTTTCCAACCTTCTTCTTGGTATTGTCCATGACAGGGTCATTTTTTATGTGCAGGTAGTCGCATGTATCAATATTTTCTTTTCTGATTACTAAGTATTGTTTCATGTGTAGAGAGGTCTTTTCACTCCTCAAAATAATTTTTATAATTAATTTATGTGTTCCTCTAGCTATCTAAGGGACCTCTTTAAAACTATGTGGAATTTATTTGGGGGGAACAATATGGCATAGGAGATCTAGCCAAAGCCCCCAACAATACTGAGTTCTTTCTCCATGGACAGGGTCAAATTTCCTTTTTTAAAGGTCACTCCGGTAGCTTTGTGGATGATGAATTGGAGGGGAGAGGCTGAGGGCAGGAAGATTAGTAATATGTAGCAGTACAGATGAACACATGGGAAAGTCTGGCAGCTCAGGGCAGTGCCCAGCACAGCTGCCATGACATGGTACGGATTTCTACTCTATAGGCTGGAAAGCTGAAGAGGAGAAGAAGGGTACATTTGTAGGGTAAGATAGAAAATTCTATTTGGTACACACTGAGTGTTAAGTTCCTATAAGATATCCAGATAAAGTTCAATTGAAAACCAGAAATACACAATCTAGGTCCTGGGAGAAAGCTCTTGGCTAAAGATTTTTCTTTGAAATCTGTATTCATTTGCTAAGGCCTATTGTTAACAAAGTGCCACCTTTGAGTGACTTGAACAACAAAATTTACTATCTGATAGTTCTGGAGACTCAAAATCTGAAATCAAGGTATCAGCAGCGTTCGTTCCTTGTGAGGGCTGTGAGGGAAGGATCTGGCCCTTGTGAGGGCTGTGAGGGAAGGATCTGGCCCAGGTCTCTCTCCGTGACTTGTAGATGGCCATCTTCTCCTACGTCTATTCACCCCATTCTCCCTCCATGCATGTCTCTATGTCCACATTTCCCCTTGCTGTAAAGACACCAGTCATACTGGATTAGAGCCCACCCTAAGGACCTCATTTCATCTTGAGTACCTCTGTGAAGAACCTATCTCCAAACGATCACAGTCTAAGGTATTGAACTTCAACGTACGAATTTGGGTGGCAGGGAAGTGGGGAAACACAATCCAACCATAATAGAATCCTTAGCATACAGCTGAAGCCTTAGATGGGGAGAGGATCACAAGGCATTTTTTTGTCTGACTACTGCAGGTAGACAAAACCCCGTGTCCCCCAGCTCGTACAAGCATTCCAGCATTAGCTGGTGTTTACACATGAGCCTAGGAGCTTTCTTGGTTTGCAGTTAGTGTGGAGAATAGTTTTTGGTAAGCAAGCAGGAATCCAAAAAAAAATGGTTGGAGGGAATGATACCATATCTTCTTATCCAAATGCCATAGATGGAAATAGGACCCCTACGATTAGGGTGTAAAGACTAACGTGTAAAGTCACTCACGAAAACTAGTCATGGTACACATTGTGAAACTCTAGACACAGCAGTGCTACTCCAGAGTCCCGGTGAAAAAGTATGTCCCAGGGCTGAGGAGTCCTTTCCCCCTGGTCTCTGTGCCACTCTCTTCCCCAAGGATTGAATGCTCAGGGTGCTGTGGCAGCACGTGTGGCACAGACACTGCATTCCCAGGATAGGCAGTGATGCAGCTTGGCAAAGCAGCACATCTGCAAGCAACATGGTAGGTGATAGATGTGGACAAGTGGGTCAGAACAGGAGGAGAAGAGTGGAGTGAATGCCACATGGAACCTGCAGCTGCAATGGGGCGAATGCCACGCGGAACCTGTGGCTGCAGTGGGACGAATGCCACACAGAATCTGCAGCTGCAAGACTTGTTTAAGTAAACTTCTGAGGCACGTTTTAAGAGACTACCAGAAACCAGAGGGGTACAAACGGGAGAGAGGAAGCTAAAGCCCTCCTATTTGGAGGGGGCCTATCAACCTATAGTTCAGTTATTCTGACAACTTGATTCATTTGCTATTTTTAATTTACTATCACATGCTTGATTTGGTTTTTTTCTTATAGAGGCAGGGCCTTACTATGTTGCCCAGGCTGGTCTCGAACTCCTGGGCTCAAGTGATCCACTCCCCTCAGCCTCCCAAAGTGCTGGGATTACAGGTGTGAGCCACCATGCCCAGCCTTCATTTTTTATTTCAATGACATACTTATGCACCCCAAACCTTGCGGTGAAAATTCTTTTGGCTCCAAGAACCAGATATTAACCCAGGAGAAGTCTCTGGGCTTGAGAGACCTCATCACTGAGGTGCCAAATACACCTACCACGATGATGGGGATGGTTCCACTCTGTAGGCTAGGCAAGCAAATGGAGTAAACCCCATAAGATGTCACATATGCTGGCTTCATAGAGTGGGGTGGCACAGTCTAGAGTACAACCCATCCAGGTGATCAGCCATCCAGCAGACCACAACAGACACTATTTTCTGAAGAACAGAACCTAAAATGCAAACTGAATGGGGATAGATCACTGGCCTAGGTGAATAGAAAGTCACTTCATCCCAAAGCAGGGATTGTCAACAATGAGGAATCATTATTCCTGATGCCAAGCTGCATCAGGAATATGGGCAGCAAAGGTCTTCACCTCAACCTGTCCTGAAGCACTGACTCAAGAAATAGAGAGAAACAGGGCTCAGAGGCTAAGAATCAGGCAAGTGGACCTAAAGCACGCCAGCCTTCCCCCAACCTAGAAACACTGGCCAGCCGTAAGCCATATCCTTGCATCTGTCCCAGATCATGTGCAACTTCGGATATGTTGGTCTTTCACTTGCTGTAGGAAGCTAGTGAGTTAATGGTATATTCTCCATGATCACACATTGAACAACAGCAATCTCAGCCTGTTGGTGAGCAAAGAATAGGCAACATGACCAATCCCTGGCTGTCCTCTCTAAGAAGCCTGCTTCACTTTCCATCCAAAGAGATCCAAAACAGAAACTCCGGTGAGGACCCACCTATGGGTCGATCCTGGTCAGCAGCACAGATATGGGAAAGAATGATCCAACTGGCCAAATAAAAAGGCAGCTTGTGGACAAGTGCTGTGGCACACACCTGTAGTCCCAGCACTTTGGGAGACGGAGGCAGGCAGATCACTTGAGGCCAGGAGTTCAAGACCAGCCTGGCCAACATGGTAAAATCCCATCTCTACTAAAGATACAAAAATTAGCTGGGCATGGTGGCACACGCCTGTAATCCCAGCTATTCAGGAGGCTGAGGCATGAGAATCACTTGAACCCGGGAGGCGGAGGTTGCAGTGAGCCTAGATTGTGCCACTGCCCTCCAGCCTAGGCGACAGACTGAAACTCTATCTTTAAAAAAAAAAAAAAAAAGGCAGCTTGTAATGTCATTACTTTGGAAGAATCTTTAAAAGCAAAACTGCCTAATGCAGTGATGCACGAGGCACTATGCCACTTTTCTGAAGACTCATCCTTCACATTGAATAAATAAATCACCACTGGGAGCTTGGCCATTTGTAGAATGCAGAAAACCTGTTATGCTCTTAAAGCATGGAAGCATTTTTACATTCCATAGCCATCTCCACATTTGGAAAAAGAAGATAATTGTATGTTCTCCAAAGATTTTTTGGCATACTGATGTTTAAAAATTTTTTTAAGGAAATTGAGGAACAAGAAGAGGGTATGATGATAATGGAAATACTCTTTAAAAGAATTCTTGCTAACCATCCTATGGGTCCCATTTTCTTTTTCCTTTTGTTTTTTTATCTTCAACTTTTAAATTCAGGGTGCAGGATGTGCAAGTTTGTTACATAGGTAAACGTGTGCCCTGGTGGTTTGCTGCACAGATCAGCCCATCACCTAGGTATTAAGCCCAGCAGCCATTAGCTATCCTTTCTGTTGCCCTCCCTCTCCCTTCCCCTGGTTCCCATTTTTGTGTTTTTAGAATAATATGTTGAAGTGTCACACAGTACCTTTGGGAGTCAGAAAAGTGATTAACTAATAAATCGTTAATTTCCATTTTCTGAATATTTCATTCTTTGATCCTTTTGTAGTTTTTGAACAGCTCCTATCAGACAGTATTTAAAACAATAATCAAAGAAATGGCTGCTCGCGATGAACTGGAAGAGGATTTTGACATTCCCCTAACTAGGCTACTGGAAAGTGAAAACAGATGGAAACTGTTAATTATGTAAGTAACTGGTAAGGCCAAGTGATTGGTCAGTGGATTTGGGTATGCCAGAGGTGGCAGCAGGGAAAGTGTAAATTGAACCATCAACAAAAAGAGCAAAGTCAGGACCAGACAGGTTCCCTGAGTCAAGGACCAGGAACAGGTCAACCACAGGGAAAGGGTAAGATCCAGGGGTCAAATGTGCAGAATGATCCAGCTGCTAGACCAAAATCAAACTCAAGAGCAAGGACATTGCAAGCATGGGAGGTACAGGATAAGATCAAGGCAGATGGTGACAGAGGCTGGATATTCAGGGCAAGAAAAGGCTTGCAGGGACCATGAATTTGTACAAAAGTCTAGGGAGCAAAGTTCAGACCCCTGGCACTTAAGGAGAAGACATCGGGGAGTAACCTGGGGCAACCGCCCACCAAATTCCCTGGCTTCACACTAGCTGAGCTAATGCTTTTCCATGCATCTTGAAAGAGAGAGAGCCTTGAGCTTCACTAACCTGGGGTTACGGCCAGGACCCCGTAAGGTTACTGTAGACCTGTGTCACTGGCACCAGGTCTTTCTAGCTGGCAAGGCCCCAGGTCACAAAATGTTCCAGCCATTTGTACACTGTATTAGTTCATTTTCATGCTGCTGATAAAGACCCAAGATTGGGCAATTTACAAAAGAAAGATATTTAATGGACTTACAGTTTCATGTGACTGAGGAGGCCTCACAATCATGGCAGAAGGTGAAAGGCACATCTTACACAGTAGCAGACAAGTGAAGACAGCTTTTTCAGGGAAACTACCCCTTAAGATAACCATCAGATCTCATGAGACTTACTCACTATTGCGAGAACAGAATGGGAAAGGCCTGTCCCCATGATTCAGTTACCTCCCACTGGGTTCCTCTCACAACACATGGGAATTCAAGATGAGACTTGGGTGGGAACACAGCCAAACCATATCATCCCACCACCAGCCCCTCTCAATCTCATATCCTCACATTTCAAAAACCAATCATGCATTCCCAGCAGTCCCCCAAAGTCTTAACTCATTTCAGCATTAACTCAAAAGTTTACAGTCCAAAGTCTCATCTGAGACAAGGCAAGTCCCTTCTGCCTATGAGCCTGTAAAATCAAAAGCAAGTTAGTTACTTCCTAGATACAATGGGGGTACAGGCATTGGATAAATACAGCTGTTCCAACTGGGAGAAATTGGCCGAAATGAAGGGGCTACAGGCCCCATGCAAGTCCAAAATGCAATAGGGCAGTCATTAAACCTTAAAGTTCCAAAATAATCTCCTTTAGCTCCATGTCTCACATCCAGGTCATGCTAATGCAAGAGGTGGGTTCCCATGGTCTTAGGCAGCTCTGCCCCTGTGACTTTGCAGGGTATAGCCTCCCTCCCAGCTGCTTTTATGGGCTGGCACTGAGTGTCGGAGGCTTTTCCAAATGCACAGTGCAAGCTGTCAGTGGTGCTCCACTAGGTGGTGCCCCATTAGGGACTCTGTGTGGAGGATCTGACCCCACATTTTCCATCTGCACCACACTAGCAGAGATTCTCCATAAGGACCCCACCCCTACAGCAAACTTCTGCCTAGGCATCCAGAAGTTTCCATACATCCTCTGAAATCTAAGCAGAAGTTCCCAAACCCCAATTCTTGTCTTCTGTGCACTCACAGGCTCAACACCATGTGGTAGCTGCCCAGGCTTGGGGTTTGCACCCTCTGAAGCCACGGCCCAAGCTCTATGTTGGCCCCTTTCGGCCATGGCTGGAGCAGCTGGTATGCAAGGCACCAAGTCCCTAGGCTGCACACAACATGGGGACCCTGGGCCTGGCCCATGAAACCATTTTTTCCTCCTAGGCCTTTAGGCCTATGATGGGAGGGGCTGCTGTGAAGACCTCTGACACCCTGGAGACATTTTCCCCATTGTCTTGGGGATTAACATTCGGCTCCTTGTTACTTATGCAAATTTCTGCAGCTGGCTTGAATTTCTTCTCAGAAAATAGAATTTTCTTTTCTATTGCATTGTCAGGCTGCAAATTTTCTGAACTTTTATGCTCTGCTTCCCTTAGTAAACTGAATGCCTTTAACAGCACCCAAGTCACCTCTTGAATGCTTTGCTTCTTAGAAATTTCTTCCACCAGCTACCCTAAATCATCCCCCTCAAGTTCAAAGTTTCACAGATCTCCAGGGCAGGGGCAAAATGCTGCCAATCTCTTTGCTAAAACATAAAAGGGTCACCTTTGCTCCAGTTCCCAACAAGTTCCTCATTTCCATCTGAGACCACCTCAGCCTGGACGTTTTTGTCAGCATTTTGGGCAAAGTCATTTGACAAGTCTCTAGGAAGTTCCAAACTTTCCTATATTTTCCTGTCTTCTTCTGAGGCCTCTAAACTGTTCCAACTCCTGCCTGTTACCTAGTTTCAAAGTCACTTCCACATTTTCAGGTATCTTTGAGCAGCACCCCACTCTACTGGTACCAATTTACTGTATTAGTCTGTTTTCACACTGCTGATAAAGACATGCCTAAGACTGGGTAATTTACAAAAGAAAGAGATTTAATGGACTTACAGTTCCACATGGCTGGGGAGGGCTCAGAATCATGGTGGAAGGTGAAAAGCACATCTCACATGGTGGCAGATAAGAGAAGAGAGCTTGTACAGGGAAATTCAATAACAGTCAGATCTCATGAGACTTTTTCACTATCACAAGAACAGCATAGAAAAGATGCCCCCATGGTTCAGTTACCTCCCACTGGGTTCCTTTCACCATACATGGGAATTCAAGATAAGATTTGGGTGGGGACACAGCCAAACTATATCATACATACACCCAGCCTGTGGTGCAGGCATGCTCTCAGCATGGAAGCCTGCTCTTTCCTTTATCCACTGTCAGAAACCTGGAGAGCTAGGTATGTGTTTGTGCCCCCATGGGTCTGTTACAGACTGTCCAGCAGTGGCACCAGGGACAGGCTGTGTGAAACAAGGTGCCCTACCTAATCACGTGGGCAAGTTCAGGTGTTCACAAAAGTCAGGAAGAGATTAACTACCAGCAACTTCCACTGTGGACTCAGTAGAGGCATGGGGCAAGAGATCCCCAAGGCTTCTCTGGGAAATGGGAAGGCAAAAACACAAAGAACTCCCAAGCTTTTGGATCAGCAAAAACAAACACCAAATAATATCTCTACACATTATCCCACTGCCTCTGTGCCATTTCCTCCCTCTCTTCCCATTTACGCCTGTATCAAAGGCTGATTCTAACCTGATTGCTTTCAACAGATATTTCATGTGCACCTACTATGTCCTAATCTAGGCCCTAGGGATACAGTAGAGTGTACCCCAGTCTCTGGTATTGAAGAGCCAGCTGATGGGGATTCCACTCGCTCGGAAAGGTGGGCAAAAAAACAAGAGAGGAACAGCCAGTCTTCCCAAAAGGGCTTTGGGTGCCTCTGACTAGATCCCCTCACCGGAGTTTAACTCTTATCTGTGTTTGCAATCTTGTTCTGAGCCTAAAGGATAGGCCCCCACTCCACCCATTCCTTGGTCCTTATTTTTTCACAGATGCCAGTAGGCTAGGTAACCGCTTCAATTCCATTAAAAGTCCTTGCATTATAAATGAATAACATTTGGTACAAATGGGCCATGGACTCATTCTCAAATTTCCCTATTGCTTCTAGGGTACGAATAAGGGAACTATTGCTCTGTGCTAGGTAGCAGTGCAGCCCTTTCCAGCAAAGAATGTTTGCTTCCTGGAGTTACTCTGGGCTAAATTAGTATGCCCTCTTCAAGGAAACTGATCTAAGGATTTAAAATCTGCAATGGCAAAGGCCTCCTTTTCAGATCCAATTAAGCCTGGGAAGCTCAGTCCTTCTGGCACATTCCCTTTCAAAGGGACTCTGATCTAAGAACTAGAAAACACAGCTGCCCTGGAGAGCACCCTTATTTGGAAGGAAAACAGTCCACGCCACTGAAATGCCAGGATGACTCACTCTGTGTGTTGACATGAGAGGGAGAAAAGGGCTTGATCACATTGAAGAGCTGTGACTTGTCTGGCTTTCATGATAAGTCCTTTTGAGTAAGGCTATTTGAAAGTGTCCTACTGAATGCAAAGGGGTTTCAGGTGGTTCTGGGTTTCACTGGGATATAGACAAGCTGCAGAAAATCAAATCCAGCTGTGTGAGTTAACTCACAGGGCCATACTTGCATTTGGACCTCCCTGCCCTGTCAGCGGCCCCCAAGGTTCCCCTCATTGAATTTGTTTCGAAGGGTGCAGGGTTCAGCCGCATGCTCTGGGTGTGGGTCAGACCACAAGGGAAGCACTAAGTGGATATCAGGCACCATCCCTTTGCTCCTGGGCATTGACTCAAAGAAAACTGGACTAGAAAGCAAAGCCGGGGGGCGGAGCAAGATGGCCGAATAGGAACAGCTCCAGTCTCCAACTCCCAGCGCGAGCGACACAGAAGACCGGCGATTTCTGCATTTTCAACTGAGGTACTGGGTTCATCTCACTGGGGAGTGCCAGACGATCGGTGCTGGTCAGCTGCTGCAGCCCGACCAGCGAGAGCTGAAGCAGGGCGAGGCATTGCCTCACCTGGAAAGCGCAAGGGGGAAGGGAATCCCTTTTCCTAGCCAGGGGAACTGAGACACACAACACCTGGAAAATCGGGTAACTCCCACCCCAATACTGCGCTTTAAGCAGACAGGCACACCAGGAGATCATATCCCACACCTGGCCGGGAGTGTCCCACACCCACGGAGCCTCCCTCATTGCTAGCACAGCAGTCTGTGATCTACCGGCAAGGCAGCAGCGAGGCTGGGGGAGGGGCGCCCGCCATAGCTGAGGCTTAAGTAGGTAAACAAAGCCGCTGGGAAGCTCGAACTGGGTGGAGCTCACAGCAGCTCAAGGAAACCTGCCTGTCTCTGTAGACTCCACCTCTGGGGACAGGGCACAGTAAATAATAACAAACGCAGCAGCTCTGCAGACGCAAACGACTCTGTCTGACAGCTTTGAAGAGAGCAGTGGATC